GTCCTTATCTGAGAGACCTTTCTTGAACCCAATTGCAGAAACAGCCTCCCCCACCAGTGCCCTTTATCTGTATCCCTCTGTAAAGTTAGGAATTCTGTTTTTTGTGTGTGACTATATTTCAGTGTCTGAACATCTTTCTAGGACATACTCAGGAAATAAATTTTGTTAAAAAGCATTTTTTTGCATGGCTTCGAGTTTTCTTGTGATTCCTTGACTATTAATACACAAATTCCTTGTGTTTGGATATAGGTCATTTGTATGATCAGCAGTCATCAGGACATTTCCCCAAACTCTTAGGAACCCCAAACTCTGCCTTAAGAATGCACAGGCTGGAGAGGTGACTCAGTCAGCAAAGCATGAGATCTGAGTTCAGATCCCCAGAACTTAGGTAAAAAGCCAGGCATGGTGGTGTGTATTTATAACTTGAGCACTGGCGGGGAGTGGGGAAGAAGGGAGTTACAAGTAGATTCCTGAAGCCCATTGGCCAGCCACTCTAGCCAAATCAGTGCGTTTGAGGTTCAGTGAGAGACTCTGTCTCAGAAAAAAAACAAGTGGAGAGAGAGCTCAGAAAGACGTCTCTGGCACACGCATGTCTACTCTAACAAGCACATATATCACACACAGCATACCACACTACACACCAGAAATAAAAAGAAAGCAGGTATGCCAGCTACACTGAACTTAGTACTCAGAAAACACAGATTTTCTGTCGTATAGAATCCCATATTGTTCAAAAGACCAGAGCCTGCTATCCTAGATCCACATTTTTCCCAGAGCATTATTATGAAAGGTTCTAGTCATTTCTAAATTTGAGAAGGCGTATTTAGTTCACAGTTGGCTCTACCTTGTGAAGTTCCAAGATTCATTGTTTGACTCTTGGCCATCTGCCCTGTGGCCTCAGGCATCCTTCCCACTGCTCTGTGTCCAGGTATGCCTTTGCTGTCCCCAACCAAGATCCCCTCAACTGCTTTATGAAGACTGGATTCCTAAGTATCTACTCCAGGGAGTGAGGGGGGGATAAAACCATACCAAATTATTGTCTCCAGGGCTTTTTTTTTTTTGAGTAGGCTGATCAGGGACACAGCATTTTCAGCTTTTCCTTCATGGCCTAACAAATCATTTCCAGTTTGGCACTCTAAATTTGGAGACCAGGATACTTGCCCACATCTGTAGCTGTCAAGGTCAAGTTGTTTCTGGGCTGTCAAAATTTGTAACAGTAACTTGTTGTTCTTAAGTGGCTTTATTATGCTCAAAATATCTCCTCTAAAGGTGTGGATACTGACCTGTTACCCATAACGCTCTCCTGAGTAGGCAGAGAATGGATTAATTATTGTTTCTTGGGCATTTACTTATTACCTTGATGACTTTGATATAAAAGATATTTTCCCATAACCTAGTATATTTCATTCTAACCACTTCATAGCTAGGTCTGCGGTTTGCCGATGTTGAGGTGGGTGATCTTACTCAGGCTTCAGAATATCTAAAATACTGGCTCATTCCCCACGTTTGGGTCCACTGGATCCTCTGGATGAGTGTGGTGGAAAGAGCTCCGAGGCTGTTCAGTGCTCTCCATGTGAAGTGTTATTCTGCCATTTCATTCAGTAGATACTTGCCTGCTGCCCTACTGTGTGCAGGGAACTATTCTGACACTAAAAATATAGTGGTGGGTTGAAACTGTCTTCATGAGCTCATGTTTTAGAACTTCACACGACCCAGGGATCAGATTTAGTTTTCTTTTGAACAGTAATGAATGACTTAACAGCTCCCTGCTAACACTGCCTCTTTTGATACTGCCTTTTCTCTACCACTATTGTTCCCTTATTTTTCCTTTTTCCTTTAGGGCATAGCTCAAAGTCAGTTTCATCTCTGAACCCTTCCCATTCTATAGTAGGCTGCATCAGCCACCTTGACTTTATATTCAGGGTGGAAGTAAACAAACTTTCCAGATTAGAATTTCTGTTTCTTAGTTGGGAAAATATAACTTGACTAGGGATTCCTGAATATGCACCTCTTTCTCCACCCCCCAGAGCTAGCCACTTGCCAAGACTCCAGTCCTAGACTAACAAAAGTGAAATGATGAGTTAACTTGTGGCACCATCAAGTGGTTCAGTCAGGCAGTGCAACTTACTTCTTCTGCAAGATCAAAATAGTTCAGTTTATGCCAGGTACATATTCCGGGAAGGAGGGAGGATGGATGAAGAAAGGGGCATAGCATTATGATGCAAATGAAAGGTCTAATAACTAGACTATTTCAAGAGGTTCAGGTTGTTCACAGGTAATCTGTGGGAAGGTCTTTTAACTGTTCACTTTTTCATAACCAGTAAGCCCAAGGCACAAAGGTAGGCAAAGGTTTGCTATGTACCTTCGTTATTGCAATCAGAGCATGTGTGTACATTCTGCCTTGCTTGGCTACTTACTTAGTGAACAAACTTGACTTAACCACAGAGCCCTACATTCATACTCTGTATCCATCTTAAAATTTCCCCAGGCTGTGTTTTCATAGTAATAAAATGGACTTTGAAGAGTTTTTAAAAAATTTTATTGAATTTTCATGCATTTCATACAGTACATCTTGATCATATTTACACCCCTTCTCCATCTAGATCAAGGCCCCATAGCACCCCCTGATGGTTTTTATGTACTCTGTCATATATGTTAAGGCCTATCAAGTAAAGTTTATGTCCCCAAAAGTCCCTCAGTGTTGAGTCCGTCCACTGGAACCTGGTCAACCTATCTAGCATCACTCCCTTAAAGAAGACCCAACTCTTCCTCACCAAGCAGTGATCAGTTGCCAATAGTTCCTCAGCTAAGGTTGGGGCGCTTACCCATTTCCCCAGTTCTATGCTGGCTTTTTGTCTGGTTTGAGTTTGCATGGGTCTTGTGCATGCTGTCACCATCGCTGTAGGTTCATATGAGTAAGTTCCTGGCCACCTGGAAAACTGTTTCCTTGTGGTCATTCACCACCCTTGGCTCTTTCTGCTCCCTCTTCTGCAGTAGTCCCTGAGCCCTAGATAACAGATGTTTGATATAGGAGTCCTATGCAGGGACATATACTCTGAAGTCTCTTATTCTCTACATTGTGGCCAGTTGTGGCTTTCTGTGTTAACCATCTGTTGCATGAGGACGCTTCACTGGTGAGAGTTGAGAGATGCATTAATATTCTCTCTGTCCCCTGTTCTTCTGTGTTCTGTGAACCTTAAGTGTAGCGGTTTCATTGTAGACATGTCGCTTAGGGCTTGGCATCTCATAGACGCTTATTCTCTGAGTGACCAGTGAGGAACTATGTCTCTGTTGCAAAAGAAAGCTTCTTTGATGAATGGCGAGAGGTATACTTGTCGGTAAATATGAGAATAGATATTAGCATACAGTAAGAAATCATGTTTGTCTAGGGATGTGACCAGTATAGGTTTTCCTCTAGGATCTATGACCTCCATCCGTGTCTGTTTGCCTGTGTTCACAATACCACACATGAGGTCCCTCCCACTGAGTGGACCTTAAGTCCAATTAGATAGCTGTTGATACATCGAAGATAAAAGTGCCACTACTGCACTGTTTGTTAGTTTGCTGTGCTGATCATTGTTATGGTTATTAGGCTTTACAGCTGGGTGGGAACATTGATTAGTTTTCTCCCTTAGTGGCTTGCATAGTATCCTCTGATACTATGAGACCTGAAAACTAAAGACTTTTTGACATTTTTGCTCACTAAGTAAGGGATAAATGTATAATAATAATTCTAGTAAAGAAATTCTCAGAGTCAGAAGTTACATAATCAAAACTGACCCAGATGTTGAAATGCTCTAGAGTAAGTTTACTTCATCTGGGTTTAAGCTACATGGATGAGAGAGATAGAGAATGACAGTAGTCAGGCCTTTGGGGTTTGACTCTTAACAGGGGAGCTAAAGTTTCAGCTTATTTACTAAGGATGGTGAGCTATATTCCTTGATTCATAAAAATGGACATATGCACAAAAACCCAAAGAGATGTGGAACTGTTCTTCCATATCACAGCAGGAAAGAAACTCAGAGTATGGTGTATGGGAATAGTTCAGCTTTATTGGTAATGTGGGCACTTTTCATTTCAGCCATGTGTTGAACGGGTTCTTTTCTTTAATAGAAGTAGATTGTAATACATCACCTTTGCTTTCACACTTGAGATGAACAGATCACATTCACTCTTTGGTGAGCTACTGTATGTCTAAGGTATTTTGGATCACAGAACAAACCTCTTTCATCTGACTCCAGCATTTCCTCATGCTCTTTTGAATCACAACTGTAATGTAGCTCCTGTTAGCAACAGAGAGCTTAGCATTTGTGAAATGTGCAAGATCATGTTGAGATCCGCCACCCCACACCTGTCCTGTCAAGTGACTTCTAGTTACCCAGGCTATTTCCCTGTTATTACACCTTCTCTTCCAAAAACAGGAGGGATAAAAAGGGGGTATTTCTGTCTTAACCGTAGCAGTTTACAAAACCTGAGACATAGAGTGGTTAGAAAAGAAAGAAGTGGTAATCAAAAGCTAAGAAGCAAAATGCTTATTTTAGAAGGCCTAAAGCTGATAGAACAAGCCTAATTAACCAGAAATTACTGAGCAAATTATCATTATCCCCTTAGAAGACTGTCAGAAACCTCACACTTGGCCCCACAGCAGAGTTCCATGTGGCCAAGGTAGGAAGGGCATCCTGACCTGAGTCTCTGCTTTCTTGATCTCTGTCCACTGCCTTCCTTTCCAGAAAGGTTTGCTTCTTCTTAGTTTTCATGTTTTCCTGGCCTCCTTTTCTGTTTTACTAATAGATCAGCTATTACAGTCCATTTTGCTAGCATGTGTTCTGTCAAGTTGGCTCTAGATAGTTTTGTGTCCCTCCCACACCAACCCCACCCCCTCTTAAATATATGCACTCGGGATTTCAACAGAATGTCTCTGTAGTCAATCAGGCATCACTGTCTGTTCTGAGCTGGTGGCCTTCCTAATCACTGGCATGTTTTGGGGGGTGTCTTTCTAGAGCGTTCTGCCATACTTTGTAGCTACCAAACTTGCTAAAATCCAAAAACCAACTTTGGACAAGCCCTCTGCACAGATGTTTGTGAAGTCTGCAATTAAAACAGTAGGCTTGCAGTCCCGAACCACCGGATACGTGATCCATGCTCTCATGGTATGTAGATTTCCAATTCCTAACCAGTGTTTTGGGTTTGGGGATTTCTTTCTGCATGATCTATTAGCATCAATACATGTATATTTTACTTCAAACTGTATATTTAAGAGCTTTGAAATGTATATAAATAACAGTCCAGGAAAACATAAATAGCTGGTAGACTTCGGTTTAGCCCAATTATAGGCTTTACTTATATTTCTCCCATTTTTTTTTTTTTCCTTAGGGCTCAATAAGCTCAATCCTGCCTCGTTGTATCTATTTTAAAATCACCATGGGTTTCAACAAGTCCGTGCGGAGTCGCTATCTGAAGAAAACCAAGAAGAACTAAGTACTGCAAACTCGCCAAGCTACTTGGCCAGATGCCCTCAGCACAGGCTCCCCCAGTCTCCAGAGTCTGTACTGTCCTTTGAGTAACTAACATGGCCGAATTGGCATCATAATTGGGAAGAAAACAGAAACTGCTTTTAGGGATTCTAATACAGCCAGGAATAGTTTAATGTAAATGCCTGTATCAGATGGATGTAGGCCCATATTACCAGTACCCCTTGACAGAAAGGAATATGATTACAGCAAGTCACAGAATGACAGGGACAGATATAGAGCCCATCTGGTCCAAAATGCCAGTCATTTTATAGTCATTACACTATAAAATGTAATGACCAGCTACTGTTTTGTTTAACACTTAGAGGGAATGGGGCTTAACTGACTTGCTTGTAGTTAGACACTACACAGTTTACATAAATTTCTGTAAGGTTTTCTACAAGTTCCAGTTGGTGTATGTATGTGGAACTATTCTCAAAAGTAGCTAATGACATGAAATTTTGAAATATGAAATTATTTCTGACCTGAGTCCACTGAACTCTTTCTTGTAACACGTCTTCTCTGTTTAAATGTATGTAACTACTGAAAGCTGTATGGCAAGATTGAATTGTAAATGTAAATGGGCCAAAGCATACACTTGAGACTGGTAACTTCCTATGGGACCACTGGGGTCCAGGAAAGCAGCATGCGTGGACCCCCGGCCTTCTTTGTATCTACGCTGTACTAACACCACTCACCCATAACAACAGACTCATAGAATAGCAGGGGCATTGTGGAAATGGTATTGTTGTTTTTAAGTTGGTGCCCCATCAGAGCACATATATCTGGATTTAATAAAAGATGATGTAACTGGTGTGGAAAGAAAAAATATTTTTTGGTGATTGAAACTAAAGCCCTATTTACACTGAATTAAATAAGTTAAAGTTGACTGTTACTGGCATCATAGTCTGCATAGGGATGTCACCAAGGAAGAATTCAGTACTGGATATGCAGGATGGAAGGTCAGCGTGTACATAGACTGTGCTCCCTAGTTTGAAGCACCAAATTTGTAAAGAAAAAAAATTCAGTTGCAGTGTTTAAATGTTTCAGACTGTTAGTTTTACCAGCTAAGGAAACAGCCTCCCCACCCCACCCCCCCCAAAAAAAAAACAAAAAAAAATTTACCCTCTGTTCTCAAAATCATTTGTAAGAGAAAAAATATTTTAGCACCCAAAGCGCACAGGAGCACATAGCCTCAGAATAAAGGATAGCCATTGAGCTGGGCACAGTGGTGCACTCTTTTAGTCCCAGCACTTGGGAGGCAGAGGCATGCGGATCTCTGTGAGTTCAAGGCCAGCCTGGTCTACATAGTGAGTTCCAGGCAGATGGGGAAGGATGGTAACAGGAACAGTACACCATGAGGTTGACAGCGTTTCCCATAACCCAGATAGAAAGTAGCAGTGATTCCCCCTGGGAAATCCTTTGGCTGCTCCAGAACTTCTCTGTTCTGTCTTTGACTGCTTCCGTATGGCAAGTGTTGTCTTGTGTTTAACACTCAAGGAGGGAGGTGATGATGTGAAAATGGAATTTTCAGGTGCCTTTAAAAGGAAAAATTTCACTGAAAACAAAACATATACTCAAAGTCATTATGGTGAAGTATATTTTGTAGAGTCAAAAAGGTTGCTTTATATTGGCAGCTTTACACTGTGGTGCATGCTGGGTAAGCTCTGAGTTCAAAAAGAATAAAGCTGGGGATGGTCTTCATTGCATATGTCAAACTAGTGTACCTCAGAGAACTGAAAATCACATTTTACTTTATTGCTCCTCCCATGTCCTTTTGCTCAGACATGTGCAGTACCCCATTATAGGCATGTGGTGGTATCTCACAGCCCAATGGCTTGTACCCTTGTAATTTGCCCTTATGCGGGTCCACATACATGGCTGCCAAGGTGCCCTTGTTCGTCTCACTTCTTCTAATGGTCCTGCTGAAAGGAGATGAATTCTGAGTTCCCTCACTTGATGCTTACTTCATCAAAATACTGTAGAACTGAACTGTGTATAGTGAGTGTCAGTGCTCATAACAATATCAAAGTGCTGATTCAGTGTGTGAGGGATTTATTGAGGGTTGTGAGAGAAAGATTGAGCTTTGGTACTAACTGGTCTCTCAGCCCTGATACCCAAAATGACCCAACTCAGTGGTCCTGCACACCATTACCATTCTGTTTTTGTGCTCTGTGGTTTACCAATGTCAAAACCGATGACCACGGCTCTAAAATGCATTAGAAACTAGTTAGTGTACTGCATAATAGCCTAATATTTTCAGTAAGTATATTGTGCTGTTCATTATATCATGTGAGATGCATCATTTAAATGCCCTGTAGAAGTGTAGTTCTCTCCCTACTGTGGTGTATATGGAGACAACTAGACCTGTTAACTGTATCTAACATGAACGCAAACATTAGATCTTAAAATTGTTAGTATGAGTGGCACATTGCAACTTTGCCCACTTTGTACAGGTCATCAAAAAGAAAGCAAAAATAGACAGTGCAAATATTAATCCTAAAAGGATATAAGCAAGCTTGGCTTCTACAATACTACTTTCCAGGCACACTGGTCTGTGCATTTTTGAGTGCCAACTGTTTATTCTTCCAGGTGCTGGAGAAACAACAGTGGACAAAGGTGGCAGAAACCTTTGTCCATGATGAGTTACAGAATTTACTTTTGAGCTGGAGGCTGGGGTGGAATGAGATGAGGGGAAAGGAAGGCAGTGATGGTAAAGAATACTGTAGGCTGTGTGGGAAGGATGCAGGTAAGGGTGTTGGCATCAGGTACAGGAAGCAGTACTGGGAGCCTGGGAGCTGAAAACAAGTACTGCCGGACACTGCAACAGTCTTGAGCCCACTACCTAGGGCAAAGCCGTTTAAGGCAGACCAGCTACTGCAATGCTCCCAGAGCAGCAAGGACCACACATGTATGGAGAGAGCCTAGCTGAGAGGATTTCTGTTCCGGGGACCTGCTTTGGCATAGTTGAGTTCTAACCAGCCCATGGTAAGTCACCTTTGCTTTCTTGACTGTATTTCATTATTGTACACTGCTGATTCGGTCTGCAAGTATCTGACTTGGGATTTTTTTGCATATGTACCTTCAAAAGTGACCTAGAGACTTTCTCAGAATTTTTTGGTCTGGTTTTAGTATCAAGATAATAACTTCATTAAAGAGGTTAGGAAGTATTGTCCATTTTACTATTCTCTAGGAAGAATTTTTGAAGGTTAGAACAGTCAGTTCTTTGAAGATTTGTACAAACATCTAGTGGCACTCTCTGTCTGGATGAGACTTATCTCTTGATTAGATTTTTTTTAAAAAGATGTATGAGCCGGGTGTGGTGGCACATGCCTTTAATCCCAGCACTTGGGAGGCAGAGGCAGGCGGATCTCTGTGAGTTCAAGGCCAGCCTGGTCTACATAGTTCCAGGACAGCTGGGGCTACAGGGAGACCCTGTCTCAACAAGACCAAACA